CTAACTGTTGCACCTATGTGCTGCGCCTACTGCATTGCAATGGTCGAATCTCTTGGTGTGTCTTGGAGGAACGCCAGATGCATGCACGACGGCGGGCATCTTTATTTACTCTAGAAGCCGTCGCAGATGTCGTTAGTGCACAGGGCTTTCGCATCCACTACGCTACCATGGACCACCTAACTGCGGGTGCAACCTGCGGGCTTGGCCCAACTCGTAGTCGCCTTGAACGACTTGACGGCCGCCGGGACTGGAATCCCTCCCAAGTTGTCGTTCAATCGCGCTTCGATATCGTTGACAGACACCAAGTACTGGTCGAGCGCCCCCAAGTTCTCTTGGTTGGGAAAGTACCACGAGATGATCTTGTCTTGGCCGCTTTCGTCCTTGGTCAATACGACCTTCCACCAAAAGTCGGGTGTGCGGATGCCGTGGCTCTCGTAGAAGTAGTCGTTCGCCTCGTCCGTGTACACGATGCCGCCCCACGACCAAATGCGGTTCAGATTGCGGTAGCACGCCTCGATGTCTTCCGTGTTTACCCAAATGCCTTGGTTGAAGCTCGACACTTGGGGCACGATGTTGGTCATGTAATGGGACTGGCGTCTCTGTTCCTGGTTGTCTGTCATCATGGAGCTCGCGACTAAGTGGCCTCGGTCGTAACCAGCTCGGACGCTCGCATACGAGTTGGTCGTGAATTGATGGCACTCTCTCGGAATCGTCGGGTCGACGTAAAATGACGACGGTCGAGTCGCGTTCAGCTTGTCCGTGGTTAATGTAAAGTTCCACCGGTCCGCCGTGCGGCGAGCGCAGTTGTATGAGAGTGAATAGCCGTCGTGGTGGACCCAGAAGTTGTCGGATATCGGATCGGGCGTCGTGGTCGTTGGGGCAGCAGTCGTTGGAGCGACGGTCGGCGGATTGATGGTTGTCGTCGTCGGGGTCATCGTTGGGGCCAGGGTGGGCGTATCCGTGCTTCCGCAGGCGGTGTGTTGGGCTTGCGCTGGGATGATGACGAGCGCACCCACTTGCACGAGTGCCA